AACAATGTGAGAGGGACACAATGATTGGTGGTTGGGGAGATGGTAGGGCAGATCTCGTTTGATCCCGGGAATCGAACCTGCAACCCAGATATGAATCCATGACTCTTTGGCACGCAGATTGACACTATTCACTTAGCCACACTGGTCAGGGCTGGTGTCTCATCTTATAAGGATCAGTGCCCACCATTATGACCTCATTTAACCATACTTATCTCCTTAAAGGCCGTATCTCCTGATATAGTCACCTGGTGGGATTTGGGTTTCCACATATGGGGTTTGAAGGGACACAAACATTCAGTCCATAATAGGGTTTTGATCAGAGTAGTGACATAGTAGTACTGTGTTGTGAGTAGACTTTGAGGTGGGGGGGGGGGCAGTGGCAAGGATGGAAGCAGGGAGACTAGTTAGAAGGCTATAGCAACAAAGAGCAGGTGGCTCAGACCAACATGGTAGCAGTGAAGGTGCCAGTGAGTAGAGTAGTGTTAGATTCTAGATACATTTTGAAAGTAGAGCCAACTGGATTTCTTGTTGAATTGATGTGGATGTGAAAGAGAGCAGTTGGGTATGATGAGAGCCATTAATGTTGGTTTTTGGCCTGTGTACTGGAGCTTGTCATCAGCTGCAATGGAGAAGGGTTCAGGTAGAATAGGTTTGAGGTGAGTGTATGTAGGGTAATAGTTTTAGAAAGTTGAGATTTGAATATGTTAAGTTTGCTGAATAGACAATTGGATCTATAAGTTTGGAGCTCAAAAATGGATAACAAATTTTGTATTGATTTTTTTCCATTGATTTTTAGAGAAAGTAGAAGGGAGGGGGAGAGACAAAGAAACATCGATGTGAGAGACATCTTTTTATAGGCTAAAGGTATATATTTGAGAGTCATTACTATATGCACTGAGCCAGACCAGCTAGGGCGAGAGTCATTACCATATGGATGATATTTAAAGCCAATGAATGGAGTGATATTATTGAGGAATTGAGTGTAGATCGGAGTAGAGGAGCAAGGACTAAGTCTGAGGCATTCCATTGTGAGAAGAGGTCTGGGTGAAAAGGAGGGACTAGCACAAAAGACAGAACACTCAGTGTGGTAGGAGGAAAAGCAGTACTTGTGAAAAGTGTAAGAAGAGAGTGATGAATGGTGACAAATGCTGAGGATCAAGTAGGAGAGAGCTGAGAATTAACCATAGCATTTTTTTTTAAATTTTTTTTTAAAAAATATACTTTTATTGATTTTAGAGAGGAAGGGAGGAGAGAGAGTTAGAAACATCAGTGATGAGAGAGAATCACTGACTGGCTGCCTCCTACACGCCACCCACTGGGGATCTAGCTCACAACCCAGGCATGTGCTCTTGGCCGGAATCGAACCTGGGACCCTTCAGTCTGCAGGCTGACGCTCTATCCACTGAGCCAAGCCAGCTAGGGCACCATAGCATTTTTTCAGTGTGTAAGTAATTCATGGTCTTGGTGCTCAGTTAAAGTGGAATAGCCAATGGAAGTGGGTTTACGAGCCTACTAGAGAAATTGGAGACAGAGAATATAGTAATTATTTTGAGACATTTTCCTACAAAGAAGAGCAGGACAATAACAGGAAGATAGCTGGCAGGGGAAGTGAGATGAAGAGTAAGATGGGAAAAAACTGAATGTGATGGGATTGATTCAAGAAGGAGGGAACAATTAATGTTGCCTTAGAAAGAGGGAAGAATTGCTGAAATCAGTTATCCTTGAGATGGAGACAAGAGATGGACCTAGTTAGTGCACAAGTGTAAGGTTTGGCTTTTTAGATTATAGTCAGAGTTTCAAAAAATAGAATGAGATATTTTAAATAATTTTGAAATTATAAAAGCCATGCATGTATATGGTAATATTCAAACCATAAAGAATGCTTAAAATCTTACTCCTTTGAGTTAGATGCTTTTAATGTACAAACATGTGAATAATCCTCTTTTACCCAGCTGAAAATTCTGTATCTTACTTTCTTAACATTTATATTAAGGACCTTTTCTCATTTGTACATACGGAATTTAGAAAATTATATAATATTTTCATAAAAACACTCACTTATTTAGCTAGTTCCATAATCTACTGAGTTTGTTTATTTATTTAATTTATTTATTTTGCTATTACAAATAATGGTGAACTGGATATCCTGTTGTGTACATATCTTTACACTCTTTTTTTCAAATATATTTTATTGATATTTTACAGAGAGGAAGGGAGAGGGATAGAGAGTTAGAAACATCGAAGACAGAGAAACATCAATCAGCTGCCTCCTGCACACTCCCCACTGGGGATGTGCCCGCAACCAAGGTACATGCCCTTGACCAGAATCGAACCTGGGATCCTTGAGTCTGCAGGCCAATGCTCTATCCACTGAGCCAAACCGGTTAGGGCAATCTTTACACTCTTATATAACTATTAGTAGCATAAATTTCTGGAAGTTAATTGCTGGGTCAAAGAGATTGTGCATTTTATCAATTTAACATACTCATCAAGTGTGTTTGCCTCAGTAGATAGAGCGTTGGCCCGAGGACTAAAGGGTCCTGGGTTTGATTTTGGTCAAGGGCACATTCTTTGGTTGTAAGCTTGTTCCCTAGTCCCATCCGGGTTTGTGCAGGAGGCAACCAGTTGATGTGTCTTTCTCACATTGATGTTTCTTTCTCTGTGTCTCCCCCTCCCTTCCACTGTCTAAAAATGAATGGAGTCCTGACTGGTTTGGCTTCGTGGGTAGAACATTGGCCTGTGGACTGAAAGGTCCCCAGTTGATTCTGGTCAGGGGCATATGCCTGGGTTGTGGGTTTAATCCCTAGGAGGCGTGCAGGAGGCATCCAATCAATAATTCTCTCATCATTGATGTTTCTATTCTCTTTCGCTATCCCTTCCTCTCTGAAACCAATACAAATATATTTTAGAAAAACCAATGGAAAAATTATCCTCAGGTGAGGATTATCAACCCCTCCCCCAACAGGATTAGATAAGCTTTTGGGTTCAGTTTTAACATGCTTTGAATTGGATACAATGAATTTGATTTCATAGATGTAATTATTTATAAAAGCTTTTATCTTTTTTGTTTTCAGTCTCAAAAGCATAAATATAAAGTCCTTTTCCGGGAACCAGACACATGGTGGAAGTTCAAACCAAAGGAACTTGCGAGGTAAAACTTGGGAGACTACTTAATATATTTTTTATTTCATGGCAGTGATAGAAAATCTATTGAGATTTTTCTCCCTTATGAATAATGAATGAAACAAAATGGATTAGATTGCAGCTTTGCCATTTAAAAATTGATAACAAATTTTGTATAACAAAAAGCATATAGGCTTTTAATTCAGTTTATGAAGAGTTTGTATCTTTTTGTTCCTAAAATTGAGCTAATTAACAGAAAAATTCCAATTGTCCTTATATAGGCAATACTTTAATACTAATAATGTCATTATCTGAAACTAGAACAGATGCTAAGGTTTGGCATACTTGAACCTTGTGCTACTGGGAGGAACAAATCATTGTAGTTGCCTAGTGACTTAGAATACTGCAAGGAAATGAGGAGATAGAGATGGGAAAGGTAGCAGATGCCCAGCTGTTCAGTTGTCCAGGTATTTCACCCCCCCCCCCCCCCTTGGTTTGGTTGTTTGACTTGAATAAAAATGTTACTCAGGACAAGGACAGACTTGGCAATTTTAACTAATTCCAATACTAACTAAAGGACAATCTAATTTTAGTGTATTCACAATGTTGAGCAACTATTCAAAAAGAAACCCCGAACCTGCTATCAGTCACTTCCAGTCCTCTTCCCACACTCCTCCACTTTGGCAGCCACTAATCGGTTTTTCTTTCTCTGTGGATTGTCTATTCTGGATTTTGCATATAAATGGAATCCTACTAATATGTGGCCTTTTGTATCTGGCATCTTTCACTTAGTTTAATGGTTCAAGGTTCATCCATATAGAATGGACCAGTACTTTATTCCTTTCTATTCTTTTGATACATTATCTGTATAAATGAGTGAGATTAGCCTACATATTTTTCTTCCTTGCCCTGCCTTGCCTGGCTTTGGTATCATGGTTTTAGGTTCATAAAATTGGTTGGGAAGTATTTCTTCTTTTTCTCTTTTATGAGTATATGTAAGTTTGAATATTTGATAGCATTTACTTACGAAACTGTCTGGATCTGGTGTTTTCTTTCTGAGAAGGTTCAGTTGAAATTTTTCCATTACACCAAAGTTTTCAAATTTATTAAGACTTTATTAAAACAATTATCATATTCTCTTACCATTTACATCTCTGCTGTATCTATACTTAAGTTCCCCTTCTCATCTTAATATGTTTATGTATAGCTCCCTTCTTTTTTCTTGATTATTCTCATCAGAGATCAGACTTTTTATTAGCCTTTTCAAATAACTTTGCTTGATTGATCTTTCTATTATAAGTTGTTTTATATTTAATTTTTTATATTTCTGCTTCTCTTTTATTCTACTATCTGTGCTTTTCAAAAAATTTATTTTGCTTTGTATACTCTTGTATTTTAAAAAAATCTTTACTTGAAAGTTTAGGTCACTTTGTAATATAATTTGGTGCTATAAATTTCACTGGGTACTATGTTAGCTGCTCCCAGAATTTTAATATATAATACTTTCTTTTTGCCATTTGTTTTTTAATTCACATTATGATTAATTTTATTCTTTAGACCTTGGGTTATTTAGAACTATGTTTTTAAATTCCTGAACAGATGGTTTTTAAATTTATCTTAAAAAAATTTGTTTTCAACTTCAGTAGGTAAGATTATGCAGTTTGTGTGATACCAATTACGTGATATTTTAAAAAATGTATTTATGGTCTAGTTCATTGTCAGTTTTTTAAATAAATGTTTTATATTTGCTTGATAAGAATGTATACTGGTTATGGTGTGTTAATAAATTATTATTCTGTTGTTCACATCTCCCATAGCTTTATTTTTATTTTTAAAAGTTTGCTTGATGGATTAATATGAGGAAATCTGTGAGAGAGATGTGTTGAAATCTCTCTATATTGTGTTGAATATGTTAGTTTCTCCTTATAACTTTGCCTATTTTCACTCTATATATTCTGAGGATGTATTTTGAAGTGTATAGAAGCTTAAGCTTTTTATATACCTCTGATTCTTGGATATTTTATCTTTGTTTAGCGATTTTCTCTTTTTCTTAATATTAATTTTTGTTACAAAATCTAATTTGTCTAATACTAACAGAATTTCACCAGCTTCCTTTTAGTTATATTTGAGTGTGATTTTTTTTCTATACTTTTATTTTCAACCTTTCAGTATCTTTGTGTTTAGGTATATTTCTCGTAACTAGTATGGTTGGGTTTTTAATAAATCCACTCTGTTTATCTTTGGCTTTTAATTGTTAGTTCTTTTATGGTTATTTTGGTTTTTCATATAATAGGTTTTGCTTCTTACTGTCTCTGCTTTCTATTTATCTCACCTTTTCTGTGATTGTTTTATCTTCTATCACAGAAAATTATATATTTGAAAATTTTTTCCTATCATGTTTTATTATTTTTTTATTGTATGCAAATTTTCTTATTTTTTTCTTCTGTGCTAATTTGGAAATTTTATGTACTATTTTTATTTTTCTGGTGTTACATTAAAAATTTTATCATGCAAATTTTAAAGTTGAAGCATTTTCTTAGCTTTACTCCTCTAAACATTTTAACTCTAATACACTTACATGCTGTGAATACCTCTCTTCCAACTTTCATGCTGTGATTATCCAGAATGTACAGATACTGTTTGTTTTTAATTAAGGAGTTAGCACTTTGTGCTTAATTTTTCTTTCAGTATAAATCTTTCATCTGGGAATTTCCTTCTGCCTGACATTGATCTTTTAGGATTTTCTTTACAGTGTAGGCCTGCTTTATGTCACACTTTTTCTTTTTAAATCTGAAAATCCCATTATTGTCCTCATTCTTTTAAAGTACTTTTGCTAATGTATAAATTCTAGATGGACAGTTTCTGTTATTGAAGATAACATTTGACTCTCTTTGACTTCCATTTTTGTTGTAAAGTTAGTTGTAATTTTAATTTTTTGTAGGTGACTTTTTTGTTTTTTAATTTCCGGTTGCTTTTGATATCATCTCTTTATCTTTGAATGACATTTTCAGTACTATGTTTCTAGTTGTGGATTTCTTATTATTTATCTTTTATGGGATTTGTTGGGCTTCTGAAATCACGGGCTTGATTTTTTTCATCAGTTCTGGAAAATTCGCAGCCATTTTTCTTTAAATCGCTTCTGTCCCATGTACTCTCATTTCTCTTTCTGGGACTTGGATTAAACGTATACTAGACCTTTTGCTCTGTCCTCAATGTCTATGTCTCTTAACTTTCCTTTCATATTTTCTCTTTGCTTCTCTGTGATCTGAAACCAGACAAGATCGAGGTAGGTAAATATGAGAGCCAGATTTTCCAGGTGGCAAATGTTAATATTAGCCCTGGATCCAGACCCTAAGCCTTGGAACCAACCTTAGACAGGAGAGTTGCAAGTAAGATGCTTTCTTTAAATAAGACTAAAGCATACTGTCCTGGAAGATGCAATTTCAGATGCTGCATGAATGAAAGCACTCCCAGTTTAAGCCCTAAAGATCCCAGTATGTTAGGTTCCATTAAATATAAGCTCATAAACAAAAACACACCAAGAAATAAACCATCATGAGTGAAGTCACAACTATAACAAACTTCATATTTGCACATCTGAGAGTTTAAATATTAGGATTTATTTTTCTTTGTTTGAACTTAAAATGTATTAAAATGTATGCTTTAATTTAGTTAGGTTTCAGTGTTTTGCAGCAGGAGGGTCCTTTGGAACATCTACTCTGGAATTTTTTTACTCACTATTTAATATTAATTAAAACCTTGAAATGATGATCATATTCTTATGAGATTCTTTTTTTTTTTTTGCAGAGCTTGAGAATAACTTTTAAAGTTATTAGGATCTGCGCATTTTCCCCCCAAATTGATAAAGGTTATTTGGAAAAGATTATATGGAATGATTAAGAAAATGATAATTTAAGACATCCTGAATAAAATGAAAATTAGATTCAAATAGTATATGTTATTCATAATAAGCCAGCTTTGTTATTTTTATGCATTATAAATATATTGTTTTTTATGACATTATTTTTTCTGATTGTTTTAAAAGCTTAATTTCCAATATCCTTATCTTTTTCTCCTCTGGATTTTTTAGGCGTAATATTCATGGGGTAAGCAAAGAAAAAATAACAAGAATGTTGGAACACTATCAACGTTTTGTTTCAGTGCCAATAATCATGAGTTCTTCAGTGCCAGAAAAAATTGAACGTGTTGAGTTATGTGCATATTCTTTTGAGGACCAAAGTTCTAGGTAGGTTAAAGTCCCTATGCACAAATATTCAATTTAAAATATAATTAAAAAAAATCGCCGAAACCGGTTTGGCTCAGTGGATAGAGCGTTGGCCTGCGGACTGAAAGGTCCCGGGTTCGATTCTGGTCAAGGGCATGTACCTGGGTTGTGGGCACATCCCCAGTGGGAGATGTGCAGGAGGCAGCTGATCGATGTCTCTCTCTCATCGATGTTTCTGGCTCTCTATCTCTCTCCCTTCCTCTCTGTAAAAAATCAATAAAATATATTTAAAAAAAAATATAAGTCTTTGTTTTAAAAAAAAAATAAAAAAATAAAATATAATTAAAAAAAATTATATTGTGAAATCACTGGCTCGTGAAATCACTGCCAGATAACTTGCACAGCTTATATAGATATTCTTACCTGAAGCAAGATGTATATGATTAGCAGGAAAAGTAAAAGTTTGAGTGATGATGAGAGGTTTTTCATTGTCAGGGCATTTTGTGGGGCCATGTTTATACTCTGAATATTCCTTTCTTCAGTATGTAACTTCCTGCTATTCTAATCTTTATCTGTTACCTTATCTCCTCATTGTTATTATTTCATGCACTAGAGGCCTGGTGCACGAAATTCATGCATGGATATGGTCTGTAGGCCTGACCGGCGATCAGGGCTGATTGTGGCCTTTTGGCTGTTGCCTGGGCCTCCCTTCCCTGGCTGCCAGCTGCTGGCCGGGGCCTTCCTTTGTTCCGCGCCACCCCCTGGTGGTCATCGCATGTCATCGCAAGTGATCGAACTCCTGTTCGAACTCTCGAGGGGACCCTTTGCGTATTAGCCTTTTATATATAGATAGATAATCAATATAGTTTCCCTAGATATTAGTAAAATAATGCTGTCATGCTAGTATAGTAAAAATTAAATTAAAAAAATGTTTTTATTGGTTTCAGAGAGAAATGGAAACAGAGATAGAAACATCATGATGAAAGAGAATCACTGATCAGCTGCCTAATGCAATGCACGCCCCCTACTGGGGATTGGGATTGAGCCCGCAACCCAGGCATGTGCCTTTGACCGGAATCAAACCTGGGTTCCTTCAGTTCCCAGGCCGATGCTCTATCCGCTGAGTGAAACTGGCTAGGGTGTAAAAATTAATTATTAATGGTATAATTTTACTAAGTAATGCAAATCATAGACTTTTTTAATTATTGATTTTAGAGAGGGAAGAAGGTTGGGGGGAAGAGAGAGAGAGAGACAGACAGACAGACATTGATGTAAGATACATCTATCAGTTGCCTCTCATATGGACTCTGACTGGGTATCAAACCCACAACCTAGGTGTGTGTTCTGACCAGGAATCACACTTATGACCTGGTGTATGAGACGATGCTCCAACCAACTGAGCCTGGGGCAAGTCATAGCCTTTGGAAAGTGTGTAATCCAGGATAGTACTGATTCTGTTAAAAATTTAGGACATATAAACAATTGTATAAGTGAGTAAAGAAGAACTTTAAAATATATATAGAGGTCTGAATTGCCCATATTTTATAATGGTAATGTATGGAGAGGTTCTATTAAAAATAAGTTGGGAGTTGGGAAGGGAAAAGTCATAAATTCCTTTTCATTGAGGTGTTGTGAAGTGATAAACATGGATTCTTGAGCCTTATTTCCTGGCTTCCTTCCCAAAGTTTTATAATATGTAACCATAAAATCTCTCCATTCTTCAGTCCTTCAGTTCTAAAATGGTAAAATAACACTTTCCTCATAGGATTTCATAAGGATTATGAATTAACACTTGTAAAGGACTTAGATTAGAATAGCATCTGGCATATAGGAAACTCAATGCTTGTGATTTCAGTAGGAAGGCTTTATGGGAGAGGTGAGACTTTGAGAGCTCCGGGAGTAAAGAAAGTAAGGAACATAAGTTGACAAGTTGATAAGGAAAGTAATGATTAGGTAAAAGTGCTCTGAGTCTGAAATTAACATTAAGGATGGTTTTAAAAAATTTAATAAGTGACATCTCCACTGAGAGCTCTGTTCCCTAGCTCTCATTTCTTTTAACTGTGCAAATCATGTTGGTGACTCTTTGTGATTTGTAAATGAAGCTTAAACATTTTCCTCTGTAGCAAATGGCAGGTAGGTGATATGGAGGCAGACCTAGTTTCACATTGTTAAGCTTAATCAGGTAGGAAAGAAACCAGGGAGGTGTGCCCTTTTCTGGGAACACATTTAGATACATAACTTTAATATTTATGCATAATAAACAACTTAAAATCTCATATTATTCAATTAAAAAAAGTTTTAGTGCTTCCTATATGCCAAACATTTTGCTAGGTTGGGGTTACAACAAAGAGATGTGTTCATAGTGTATTACAGAAAGACCAAGATTAGCTTTTATAATTTTAATGTATCATATTTCTAGAACTTTTAGACTAAATAAATGTTACGTGTCTTTTCAGTTGAATGCTTTTTAAATTTAAATCACAATGTTAATAGTAACATTAAGAGGCTTCCTTATAACACCTTAAAAAAATCTTACAGCCCAAAAGACAATGAAGACATTACCTCTGGAAAAGAAGAAAATGTCTTATCCTCATCTCTGAAGCACATAGAGTTAATTGAAGAGAAGAAACTTGAAGTGACCAAAGAAGCTGTGTTACCTGAGAATGTCACATGTCTCTCTAGTGCAGATTTAAACAAAGGAAGTGGTGTGAATCCTAACATTCAGAGTGCTTTAATTCAGGAAGTTCCAGAAACATATTTTTCTGATTCTGAAAGCAAAGTAGGAGTAACAGACACAAATGAAAAAGAAGAGCAAGTAGAAATGGCTTCTGAAGAAGAACATAGTAAAACCGATACAGATGGTTTTGTAGAGAGATTGTCACAAAGTATTAGCTATGGTGAAAATAATCAAGAAGACTGTGATCTTTCAAATACTGCATCACTTCAGAATGAAAATTCTTCACCTGGTGAAATATTGGAAGAAAGAGCAGTGGTAAAGAAAAAAGCTTTTGGAAAACAAAAAAGCAAATCAACTTTAGAAAAGTGTCCGAGACATGAGCTGTCAAATTTTGTTGGTGATTGGCCAGTTGATAAAACTATTGGTCAGAGGACAAAAAGGAACCGAAAAACGGAAAAGGCTTCATCTGTACAAAATGACAAAAAGTATAATTGTCCTCCATCACGCAAAGTATTAGATAATGGTCTGTCTGTGAATATGGGTAATACCCAGCAACCAGAATGTCCACATGAAAGTGTAGAGGATGACAAGAAGTCACAATGTGATGATGCTTCAGAAGCTTTTAGTAGCTGTCACTATGATGCTTACAAAAATACTGAAAAAACCTCATTCAACATTGTGGGCGACTGGCCTTCATCTGATTCTTTAGCTCAGAGAGAGCACAGATCAAGAACGCCAAAGGCTGTTTTAAATGAACCCAGCCTAGAATTTGGAACTAATGACATTATGAGTGAAATATCCTCATACACAGCACATGAGGCCTGTTGGGGCACAAGCCCTGAAGAACTAAAAACGTTGGGTAGTGGTATTCTAGGAAGTTCTGAAATGCTATCTAGTGAAATGACCTGTGAGAATAAGACTTGTCCAAATAAAATGATTCATGGGCAACACACGTTGTCTCTTACTTTTACCAATAGTGCTCCAACTATTGCTGGGGTAGTAGGAGCAGAGACTTCAGCTGAATTTCCAGAGGGAAAGCCTAAAGAAGTCCCTGGAATGGAAGTAGGCACATGTACCCAGACTGAACCACAGGATTTTGCTCTCTTATGGAAAATAGAAAAGAATAAAATTAGTGTTTCAGATTCTGTGAGAGTATTAACAGGAAGATTAGATGGATTTAAACCAAAAGCTTTCAATATTAACACAAACTTAGATGTTCAAGAAACAATTCCCTATCGGGTAATGTATGATAAAAGCACGTTTGTTGAAGAAAGTGAGCTTACCAGTGCTGATGAATCTGAAAATCTTAATATTCTTTGTAAACTATTTGGATCTTTTTCATTAGAAGCCCTAAAAGACTTATATGAGAGGTGTAACAAAGATATTATTTGGGCCACAAGCCTTTTGTTGGATTCTGAAACTAAATTATGTGAGGATACTGAATTTGAGAGTACCCAAAAATCATATGATGAAACACAAATTGGGCCATTTTCTCTAGGATTTAATTTGAAGGAAATTATTAGCCAAAGAGGAACCTTGGAAGATTCTAATTCTGTGCCAGAATTTAGCCATGAGATTGGTATCACTAACACGAATGCACAATCTACCTGTGATTCAGAAAAGGGACACTCAGAGCAGGCAGAAATAAGAGTTACAACTACTGAAAAACCTGGATTAATAAGTCTATTTCCTAATGTCACCGTGGATCTAAAGAATACCAATGAAGTACTTAATAGTCAGGCAGAACTTCCAGTTGTACATAATATTAACCAGTCTTTTTCAGGTACTGTAAAAGCTACTCCTGCTCAAGATTGGAGTGAAATGGAGAACACTCTAGAAGTTACAGACATTGGAGACAGTATGCATTCTTTGAATTTGTCTGATATTTTAAACTCTGTATCGAGCACTTCAAATCTCGAGTTAAATGAAGACATTTATTTTTCTGACTCTTGTGAAATAACAAAACACGAGAATCTTCCAAAGGACTATATGAAGTTTCCTAACACAGAAGAATATATGAATGAAGATGAACAGGAAATGGAAAAAATTCTAATGGCAGGGAGTACTTTGCCAGCTGGAGTTAGTGAGGAAGATAAAACTGAGATGCTGAATCCCACACCAGTGATGACCAAATCTCTTACCATAGACTGTCTGGAATTGGCATTACCCCCTGAACTGGCTTTTCAGCTCAATGAATTATTTGGCCCTGTTGGTATTGATTCAGGTAAGGAAAAAGTAAATTAGCTGTAAGTGTGTCTTTATGTGAATAGAATATAGAGAGTTCTATTTCTTTTTCTTTCTTTTTTTAAAAAAAATATATTTTATTGATTTTTTACAGAGAGGAAGGGAAAGGGATAAAGAGTTAGAAACATCGATCAGCTGCCTCCTGCACACCCATTAGGGATGTGCCTGCAACCAAGGTACATGCCCTTGACCAGAATTGAACCTGGGACCCTTGAGTCTGCAGGCCGACGCTCTATCCACTGAGCCAAACTGGTTAGGGGAGAGAGTTCTATTTCAATTTAAAAATTATTCCATGTTAATTGAAATAGAAAAGTAATTTGTGTTGTCTACCTTATTTCCTTTTCGTTTTTGAGAGGAAGGGAGAGGAAGAAGGAGAGAGACAGACAGACAGACAGACATCAGTGTGAGAGAGAAATATTGATAGGTCGCCTCCTGTATGTGCTTTGACTCGGGGGTTGAACCTGCAACCTGGATATGTGCCTTGACCGGGAATCGAACCTGCTACCCTTTGGTGCACAGGACGATGCTCAACCAACTGAGCCACACCGGCCAGGGCAGTCTGCCTTCTTTTTGACACTGTAGAGGATTTTAAAAAATGTAATTTGAAGAAATAGTGTTTATACAGAGTTTATATTTATCCCATGCATATATTTGAAAGTTTTCTCTGATACTTACTGCAACTTATTTATACAAATGACCCTTTATTAACCCTTAGGAGCTACTCCAGATACATATAAGGCAAGATTAATTTCTTAGAACACACTTATTGAAAAGTCTCATCTAATGGAAATGAATAAATTAAATTTTAGACTGATGGACACGATTAACTTAAATATATGAAGTATTGTATAATTGCAGCAGCCAAGAAATATGAAAGCAATGACATTAAATAAACAAAAATATTCCAAGAGAACTAGAAACATAGGTTAGTAATTAATGACACCAATTAGTATTATGATACATAAAGTGGTTGAGTATGTGTTCTGCAAATATATGAGTAATGATTATATTTTCTTTTTTCTCCTTACAAGGGTCTCTAACAGTTGAGGATTGTGTGGTCCATATAGATCTGAATCTGGCTAAAGTGATTCATGAGAAATGGAAAGAATCTGTAATGGTTGGTAGGCTTCTTCATTTTTTTTAATTCTCATGTGTGGATATACTTATTGATTTTAGAGAGAGAGGATGGAAGAGTGAGAGAAATAGTCATATGAGAGAGAAACATTGATCCGTTAGCTTCCCCCTCCCTCTTACCCCTTACACACCCCAAGCTGGGATCAAACCCGCAACCTAGTTATGTGCCCTGACCAGGATTTGAGCCTGCAACCTTTTGGTGTATGGAATGACATTCCAACCAACAGCCACCCGACCAGGGCTGTGGGTTTACTTTATTTTTATCTTTTAAAATATATTTTTACTGATTTCAGAGAGGAAGGAAGAGGGAGAGAGAGATAGAAACATCAGTGATGAGAGAGAATCATTGATTGTCTGCCTGCTGCAAGCCCTCCACTGGGGGGGATGGAGCCCATAACCCAGGCATGTGCCCTTGACCAGAATCAAACCCAGGACCCTTCAGTCTGCAGACCAGCACTCTATCCACTGAGCCAAACTGGCTAGGGCTGTAGGCTTATTTTTATAGAGAGCTCCTTTTATATTCATTTTGTCACCTTTGCTTTTCAATATAATCTGTTATATGGAAGAGTTTTATTGAACTTTTACTTTGAGAGAGAATAAACTTTTATCATTTATAAGATTACTGATTACCCCTCCCCCCAGTAGTTTAGATTATTTCTAGACTAGCTAAATTATATAATTAATGATGGAGCTCAATATGTTGATTTTTTTTTAAAGGAAAAAGTCATAAATAGTTTTTACTTCTTAAATTAAAGACTTGCAGTACTGCCTGATTAAATACAGCATAAGAGCTCTATAAGTGGAAAAAATATATAGATGTAGTAATCCTTTATAATTTTACTTACCTGATTTTATTGTATACTAGAGGGCTGGTGCATGAAAATTTGTGCACTTGGGGGGCGGGGTGGTGTTCCTTAGCCCAGCTTGCACCCTCTCACAGTCCGGGACCCCTTGGAGGATTTCTACCTGCCGGCTTAGGTTCACTCCCTGGGGGATTGGGTCTAAGCTGGCAGTCAGACATCCCTCTGGCAGCCCAGGAGCCCTCGGGGGGTGTCCGACTGCGGCTTAGGCCCGCTCCCTGCGGGAAGTGGGCCTAAGCTGTTAGTTGGACATCCTTAGCACTGCCGTGGAGGCAGGAGAGGCTCCTGCTATGGTTGAGCCAGCTTCTGGCTGAGTGGCGCTCCCCCTGTGGAAGTGCACTGACCACCAGGGGGCAGATCCTGCATTGAGCATCTGCCCCCTGGTGGTCAGTGCACGTCATAGCAAAGGGTTGTTACCAGTTGTTCTGCCATTAGGGTCAGTTTGCATATTACCCTTTTATTATATAGGATTTAGGTTTTAGCAAGAACAATACATAATTTTACAAGGAGAGATTATTTCTAGAGTAAAATGATATAATCTTGTGTTCTAATGCACCTTCCTTTGCCAATCCCCTGTTCTGTATTTGTGTTTAGGAGCGACAAAGACAAGAAGAGGTATCCTGTGGCAAGTTTATGGGAGGTAAAAGCACTTATCTTTAGCTAATGATCTTGTCTTGACATTGAAACTTGGTGTGTGTATGTATGAATTTTAACTCATTTTAAGCATACTTTCATAAAATATGTTACCCAAGAACTTGGATTTGCAAATAAAAGTTCTTTAAAAGTTGTTTTATATTCATAATGAAGAAAACACACACCCTATAATACAATTTAGTTTTCCTGAGTGCTGTGGGACATGTAAGATTTGCTCTAATATATATAGTCAAGGTGTTTTCTGTTAAGATTTGCTCTGAATAAAAGAACTCTTCTGGTTTGAGAGCAATAAAAATGTTCATGTATTTGAGAGCATCGTTGAAATATTACTTGGCTATTAAAAATTTTTCTTGATGTTACTATTATTCGAGCACAAAAGTCAGCCTGCTCTTTAGGTACATCTGCCAAATTGAAAATATTTGATTCTAGACTTCTCTTTGATAGTATTGTCCTCAGTGATTAGTGCAGGTTGGCAGACCTGTTAAAAAGGGTCTTCCTCTTGTATATGAGTTCCTCCATATACTTGTTTTGTTCACTCCACACTGGGACTGCAGGCTAAAGATTCTTAGGATGTGCTTGTGTCGTAGCTTTAAGAGCTAAAGCCGTTTGAAAACTAGAGGTGCCCAAGGGTATCAAGAGTTGTGTGAATGACAGTAGTGACTGTTTTTTCACTCTCCAGGAAAGCAAAGGAATGTATCAGAATGTGTTGATATCCCATAGAAATGCTGACGTTATATATTGTTGTGAACTTCTTAGGATGTTCAGTTCCTTCCTTATGTTGAATATCATTTGCTCAGTATTTATTGGGTGCCTCCAGTGGATTGGTTACAGATTTGCCCAAATATTGAGGTTTTCAGTCCTTGGAGTGACTGGACAGAACTAACCAGAGCTGCTTTCGGTGGTCACTTTGAGTTGGCTGCAACTTCCCGTGTTTACTGTTGTATATGTCACTATTTTCTGTGTGTCAGTGTGGTATGGAAAAGAGTGGGAAGCGTTTTGAGTTGATTTTTAGTGAAACTTAATCATGGCACATTTGAAATATTCCTACATTTACACATGTCATTTCTTGCAGTTATATGAAGATGTATTTGAAACTTCAGAGTTGCTTTATGTTTAAAAGCTAAAAGTAAAAAAACATGTTTCCCCTGGGTCTCTCTGAGGTAAATGTAACAGTGTATAATGTTTAATTTGTATATTTTTTGTTGAGGGTCTGACACTGTTTATACTGCTTTTGTAGATCCTTCCCTGGTTGGGCATATTGGTCTTGATAATACTGAACAAAAATCATCTCAAAGAACTGGCAAAAAATTACTGAAGACTTTAGCAGCATCTGAAATGCTACCCTTAATGGATCATTGGAATACTCAAACTAAAAAAGTATCACTCAGAGAAATAATGTCGGAAGAAATTGCCTTACAGGAAAAACACGATTTGGTATGAGTTAGTATAAATATTAAGCTTTTGTCTTTGACTCTAGGTTGATCATGTATGTTTACTTTATGATTTTCGTTTGATTATATATTTCCTAGTCAGGAATCTGTATTTAACTTGACTGACGTTAATGTTAAAATTGAAAAATGTTTTAAACATAGTTGAAAACTGGAGTTTTTTACATCTGAGAAATTAGTTGATAATCTACATCAATAAACCAATCTGTGTTAAATATGTTGCTTTAGATTTAATTTTTCAGGCTATTGAGCTGCATATTCCTTAGCTTTTTAACATTTATGCAATTTTTAAATTCTAGAAACATGAAAGAGATCTGTCATCTATCTATCTATCTTCTATTATATAAAAGCCCAAGTGACCATCTAACCTTTGACCACCTGACTGGTAGCTATGGTGCGCACTGACCACCAGGGGGCAGACGCTCAACGCAGGACCTGCTGAGCCGCGGTGACTTGCAGCTGCGGTTCTCGGGTGACACACCCGGAACCAGAGAGGAGGGAGCCTGATTCCTGGATGTGTCACCCGAGAACCACCCTCTCCCAATCCAGGACCCCTTGGGGGATGTTGGAGAGCCAGTTTCAGCCCGATTCCCACAGGCCAGGCCAAGGGACCCTACTGTGCACCGGTCCTCTAGCTTAAAGATAATTTCATTCATAAATTAGTAATAAGAAATGTCTGTCTGACTTTACAGAAGTATCCACCTTTGGAACAGAATTTTTTAGAGAATGTTTTAGAACTTTAACAATTTGAATTAAAAATTTAAGTACCCTTATCTAACTTTTCAATTAAACAAATTCAAACAGAAACTTCATTTCATTTTGAACTTTGTTTTTGTGCCATATTCAATGTATCTAATTATATGAAGTCATGAGTGAATTTCGTTTCCTTTGCATTGTTCGTAGCCTTTTTTGGAATTGTGAAAATTAATATTATTAGACAATTTCAAAATCAGAAGAGGAAAGACCCTAGAAGTCATTTAGTCCCGTTTTCAAGGAAAAAAATAACTCTTAGCTGGTGATCTTAACACTTTTATTTTCTTTCTTATTCATTTGACTGTTCAAAGGAACACCTTTATATTTGGTTAAAATACATAGAATTGGGGCATAAGAAGAATGATGGGGTTCCTCTATTTTTATATTTACTTTCTCTAGTTATGTTGTTAATTAAATTGGAAATGTGCTAGCATTCCCATCTTTGCATGTTTATATAATCCAAGAAACAATCTCTTCAGTAGGATCTTATCATTTAATGTTGTTTCATATATCCTCTTCAGCTTATTTATGTAATAAAGTAGATAAATGGATTTTTTTTAAAAAATAGGGAAGCCTAGAACTTATGCCAAAATGGTATGATACTTTTGGTTGAAATGCCATTTTTCCACTTCTGAAACTTGTTTTTACGGTTTTAACTGCCTTTTAATCTCTCAGTATAATAGTGAACAAATGAACATCTTTGACTTCCCAACTTAATGCACTGTTTTTCTTATTAGTAATTTTTGCTTGTCTTGTCTGGGTTGCCTAATAGAAACTATATGTTTTGGTCCCAAGGTACAAATCCAGTAAGAGAATTTTGTGATGCTTTCTCCTAATTTTTTGTCCCCAAAGGAGAAATACATTTTGTATTTTTTTTTAAAGCAAAGACTATAAAATAAACTTTAGATGTAATGTATGGATAGAATAATTAATTGTAAGGTGATTAATATTACGAGTTTTCAGTTTTTTGAATTTGAAGTTTTGAAACTCTATGGCCTGGTAGATTGCCAATAAATCTGATTGCTGAATATTTTAGTAAGTTCAGATTATAATGTATATTTTAAATAAAACATGAAATACTTTTAATTCTTGAGGTGGCTCTTTCTCAGGAGAAGTACTTCTGAGCAACTCTGGGATATATGATGCCGTCAGCTTTACCAATCCGTTCTTTTATTGGCCAGATGGGTCACCTCCTGTGGTTCCTCTTTTATTATTATCTGGTGTCATAAAAGGCCTAAATATGGTTAGGCTTCAAAACCAATAACTATTCTAGGATTGTCCTAGATTTACATAATTTTATATTTAGGAATTTTCAGAATCACCTTTGAAATTTGATAGGAGCTTATTTTTCAGACATTAGGATCTTCGTAGCAAACAAATTGTCCTAAAGTTAGAAATCACTCTAAGAATGTTTACTGTAATCCTAGGTTAGGATTAAAGTAGCACATTTTATAAAAATTCTTTTGGTTTAGCAATTTGAACAGGTCCAAATATGACTGGGGAAAAAACAATTAGTAGCAATTCTCATACAGTTATTTTTAAGTAATAAATATGCTTTTGAAACTTAAAAATTGTGAATTTTAAGATTTCCTGTCAACCTGAATTTGCAACTTATTTGTACATTGTAGTTTTTGCCCATTGAGGAGAGTGTGTTTTTGTGGACCTTGTTGACAGCATCACACAGTGTCCCTTTTATGAGGACCATGGGAGACATTTCTCTCAGGTCTCAGTACAGAAAAAGCTGTACTTCTCCTGCGCACCTGGTTTGTTTTTATTTTATGGACACTGAGAATCTTTGTTTCCCCCTTTGCTTTGGGCACGAAGAAGCGCAGAACTGAATTTGTGGCCACCATTAGCAATTGAACAAGAGTTTGTGCATTCATTTATGTACTGATTTTACTTGCTAGCTTTATCTATATTCTTACCTTTATTTTCTCTATTCTCTGATTTATTTATACCCTATTTATTTATATAGATATCTTCATCCTGTTTTATATATATTTGAATGTGTTGAGTGTGTATATGTGAGAGCATATATGTATATATTTATATATACATGAACACATATGTATATGTGTGATTGTATATATATTTTTGAGCAGCTTCAAATACTTCGTAAAAATGGGATATAAATAAATAGTGCAAGAATACTTATATTACTAATTTTAGCCTTTAATCAGTGAAGAAAGTCTGTTATTGCTTTTAAATTATTAGTCTTTTTGCAACAAAATAACCATGCTTTTGGATTAGCATAATTTGTATTATAAATTCCATTTTAAGGATTTTTTTTTTTTTTTTAGAAAAGGGAATCACTTATGTTTGAAAAAGATTGTGCCACTAAACTAAAGGAGAAGCAGCTCTTTAAGATATTTCCAGCCATTAACCAAAATTTTCTGGTGGACATTTTCAAGGACCACAAGTAAGTGCTAAAAGGATTGTCTATTCTACTGTGATGTCATTGAAAGCATATATTATACATTTTAATCTAATATTTTTCTGATAATGAATGTAATATACTGGTAGGTATATTATAAACCATTTAATGCAATGTACCTAATGTAGCAGGTGAGCAGTTTCTGGCAATTGGTTTATATGCCTCCTCAATTTTTTTTCACATGTAGCAATTATACATACATGTGCACCTCTTTGCTTTTGTGTCTACATACAAATAGATGCTTCACCAAAGAAGAGGTTGTTTTTTATGTACTATTTTGTAGTAGTTTTGCTGGTATTTATTTTTCCTATCTGTTCTTAGTGATCTGCTCTTTTCTTTTTAAAGTCTACAGAATATTCCATAGTATTCATAAAATGATTTCTTAAATTATTATAATTTATACATGCTCCTATTATGGACTTTTTGACTGTGAGAAAAATTGGAAACCATGTTGCTGCACTGAGCATCCTTGAACAACATACATTTTTGTGTACATTGGTGAATACTATTGTAGGCTAGTTCCTAAAAGTGAAATTGCTGGTTGAGAGTGTGTGCATTTAAAGTTTTTATAGTTAATGCCAAATTTCCTTTGATACAGGCTTTCTGCATTAGTTATATGTACTGATAGTGTAACCCACCTTGATAATAATAATCTTGAAAATTTTTGCCAATCTGATAGGAAAAATATTTTATTGTTGTTTAAATATTTGTTTTCCTGATTATTAGTAAGGTTGAGTAATTTCATTCATTTCCTTTTCTACTAGTTGCTTGCTTTCTTTTTGTCTGTTTTTCTTTTGGTTGTTTGTATTTCTAGTTTTAAATTTTTTATTTATTGATTTGAGAGAGAGAAACGTTGGTTTGTTGTTTTACTTTTTTATTCCTTCATTGATTCTTGTATGTGCCCTGACCAGGGATTGAACCCGCAGCCTTAACATATTGGAATAACACTCGAACCAACTGGGTTACCTGGCCAGGGCAATTTTTTCTAGATTTGCGAGAGCTCTTTATATATTATTTATAGTAATTTTTGTCTGTTAATGTAGATTATAATTATTTTTCCTGCTGTAATACTTATTAACCCAGTATAGTCACTTTGGTCATATACATGTTTTAATTCTAATGTTTTATCAGAAAATTTTTTTTTATTGTTTCTGAGTTTTATGTCTTTTTTTAAAAAATATATTTTATTGATTTTTTTTACAGAGAAGAAGGGAGAGGGATAGAGAGTTAGAAACATCGATGAGAGAGAAACATCGATCAGCTGCCTCCTGCATACCCCCCATTGGGGATGTGCCCTCAACCAAGATACATGCCCTTGATCGGAATTGAACCCGGGACCCTTGAGTCTGCAGGCTGACGCTCTATCTACTGAGCCAAACCAGTTAGGGCAGTTTTATATCTTTTTTAGGAAGTCTGTTCTACACCCATTTTATAAAAATACTAGAGGCCCGGTGCATGACATTCGTGCACTAGGAGTATGGGGGTTCCTCAGCCCGACCTGCACCCTCTCCAATCTGGGAGCCCTCAGGGGAGCCCTCTCCAATTCGGGAGTTTCTTTCTTTCTTTTTTTTTTTAATTAAATCTTTATTGTTCAGATTATTACATTTGTTCCTCTTTTTTCCCCCCATAACTCCCCTCCTCCCAGTTCTCGCCCCACCCTCCGCCCTCACTCCCCACCCACTCTCCTCATCCATAGATGCACGATTTTTGTCCAGTCTCTTCCCGCATCTCCCACACCCTTTTATCCCCCACCAC